CAAAAAAAAAAAAAAAAAAAAAACAGGTCAGGGATAAACTGCCCCCTGCCCAGGGACAAACGGCCCCGCCCAGGGACTGACCGACCAGCCGCGCTGCCTCCCGCCCCCCGGGCTCTGGCACCGGGGCCGGGGGCGGGGGGCGTCAAGCCAGCGCGGCTCCGGAGAGACCTGGCTGCCCTCGGGGCCGCAAGCAAGAAACCAGCGGCCTCCACCTTTCCTCGTGTGTTTAACACAGCAGGATGCGCCCGCCTCTGTCCTGCTCCTGCTCGTCTGATTGTCTAAAGCCGAGACCGTCGCCACAAGGACAGTTAGGGTCCGCTCGGTACGGGGAGCTCTCTCGCCCCTCGGCAACCGCCTTTTGCCACTCAAGAAATTGCAAGCGTCTGGTGGAGTTGCTCCCCGATCGTACAAACTTGCCTTTTTACAGCATAAAAAAGCAAATTAAGTAGCAGCAAACCTTGCGTCAAGTTGAACGGACAGAAGTGTTATTGCAGAGCAGCAGCACAGACTCGGGCACCTGAACGTGACTGAACATGGAGATCACTACACGTACCGGCCTCGCAACGTACTGTCTTGTCCATAAAAAAAACAAGCGAGCGTTTATGGACAAATGAAGTAGTGTCAATTTCACAAATTCTGATCAATCTCTGTACGGTGCGGGCCGAGCGTGCGACACTCGCCCGCTGCGTTTTCATACTAGTTGTGTACGGCTGATTCATACACAACTCGAGAGCAGCAGCATGGGTCCAAGCACCGAGGAGGCCACAGCGCAACAGCGATGGAGCCTGGGACTCTACGTTCACACACGAAGGATACTTGCTGGTCAGTCCCTTTAAGTCATGCATGTTTATGCGAGGCCAGGTGTGGCTATGCAACGGCCATGTATGGTGGTATCTTAGCAGCAGGCCAGGACCTGACAATTCTTGACTGCTTTTTGAAGTCTACGCCAATAAAATTCGTTACCCTGGGAGCCCAGCGTTTTGCGGGATGGCTTTGCACTTGATAATAAATACTGACAATTCTCCTCTCCAAATGGAAACTCAAAGAATGGTGAAGGGCTGGGCAGGAAAAGGTGGCAGTTTATCCCAGTTTAAAAAACAAACAAGAAAAAGATCTAAATCACCACATCACAAGACTAGTTCAGCTAAAAATGTCACTTGGAACTCAAACAGGGCCACATGGAAACTGGTCTGAACACGATGAAAAAAAGGAGGGAGGAGTCGTAAATACAGCGATCTCTAAGTCACACGTCTCCAAGGAGCTGCCTCCTTCACATACGTGCTAACATTGGAGTGCTTAGTACCAGACAGTCTATTTGCTCACAATATTAAAGGGCATCTAGAATTAGCTATGGGAGATTTAAAATCGCCTGCCGATTGGATATAGAAAGGCTTGATCCAGAGATGGTCCATCAGTCAAGAGGGTGGAAATCCCCAG